AGTGCCACCCACCAGATGACAGTTCCACTCACCAGTAACAGTGCCACTCACCAGATGACAGTTCCACTCACCAGATGACAGTTCCACTCACCAGTAACAGTGCCACTGCCAGATGACAGTTCCACTCACCAGATGACAGTGCCACCCACCAGATGACAGTTCCACTCACCAGTAACAGTGCCACCACCAGATGACAGTGCCACTCACCAGATGACAGTGCCACTCACCAGATGACAATTCCACTCAGTAACAGTTCCACTCACCAGTAACAGTGCCACTCACCAGATGACAGTTCCACTCACCAGATGACAGTGCCACCCACCAGATGACAGTTCCACTCACCAGTAACAGTGCCACTCACCAGATGTCAATGCCACTCACCAGATGACAGTGCCACCACCAGATGACAGTGCCACCACCAGATGACAGTTCCACTCACCAGTAACAGTGCCACCCACCAGATGACAGTTCCACTCACCAGTAACAGTTCCACTCACCAGATGACAGTGTCACTCACCAGATGACAGTTCCACCTACCAGATGACAGTGCCACTCACCAGATGACAGTTCCACTCACCAGTAACAGTGCCACTCACCAGATGACAGTGCCACTCACCAGATGACAGTTCCACTCACCAGATGACAGTGCCACTCACCAGATGACAGTTCCACTCACCAGTAACAGTGCCACTCACCAGATGACAGTGCCACTCACCAGATGACAGTGCCACTCACCAGATGACAGTTCCACTCACCAGATGACAGTGCCACTACCAGATGACAGTTCCACTCACCAGTAACAGTGCCACTCACCAGATGTCAGTGCCACTCACCAGATGACAGTGCCACCCACCAGATGACAGTGCCACTCACCAGATGACAGTTCCACTCACCAGTAACAGTGCCACTCCACCAGATGACAGTTCCACTCACCAGTAACAGTTCCACTCACCAGATGACAGTGTCACCACCAGATGACAGTTCCACTCACCAGATGACAGTGCCACTACCAGATGACAGTTCCACTCACCAGTAACATGCCACTACCAGATGACAGTGCCACTCACCAGATGACAGTTCCACTCACCAGATGACAGTGCCACTCACCAGATGACAGTTCCACTACCAGTAACAGTGCCACTCTCACCAGATGACAGTGCCACTCACCAGGATGACAGTGCCACTCACCAGATGACAGTTCCACTCACCAGATGACAGTGCCACTACCAGATGAGTTCCACTCACCAGTAACAGTGCCACCCACCAGATGACAGTTCCACTCACCAGTAACAGTGCCACTCACCAGATGACAGTTCCACTCACCAGTAACAGTGCCACTCACCAGATGACAGTTCCACTCACCAGTAACAGTGACACACCAGATGACAGTTCCACTCACCAGTAACAGTGCCACCCACCAGATGACAGTTCCACTCACCAGTAACAGTGCTACCCACAGATGACAGTTCACTCACCAGTAACAGTGCCACCACCAGATGACAGTTCCACTCACCAGTAACAGTGACACACCAGATGACAGTTCCACTCACCAGATTATAGTACGAGTTACCAGATAACAGTGCCACTACCAGATAACAATACTCATTAGATAACAGTGCCACTTCACCAGATAACAGTGCCACTCATCAGATAACAGTGCCACTCACCAGATGACTGGAGAATGAGGCAGTAAGAGTTACACGACCGTGTCGTATTTTTTCTTTCTTTATTTAACATGCTTCCATGTTGTTCCATATTATTCCTGTAATAATGTGTTATATTTACTATTATATATTCTAGTCACCCATTCCGTGCTGTTAAGGTTTTAACTGTTATTATTTATTCGCCCGTCTTATTTCTTCATTTAGTATTGTAACAAGTTATCTTTCTCTCTAACGACCATCTGCATCGTTAAACGACCCACCGGCGGGTTTTGGTCAGAATTGGCCCTATATATAGTGGACCACCAACTGACTAGCTTTTAGCTCAGTCTTCTTTCATTCAGTTCACGTTCTTTTGAGTGCCACTCGTCACCTGTTACTTATAACTTCATTTTATTGGTGTGATTGTTCCTGTCACCACCAATGGTATATCTATGTGAGTACTATTTATGTTTTTTATGTGTCCATCAGTGTTTCTTAGTTACATTTAAGTAATTCAGTGTTGTTTTACGATAATTAATTTCAGTGTTAGTCATTTTAAATGTTTATGAAGTGTTTACGTAATCAAATGCTTTATTTTTATTCTTTGATGTTTCGATGTTTAGTATCACTTGTCTTAAGGGTTTCGATAGTGATCAATTTGTTGACAGCCTACGAGGTTTTTTATTGTGTTAATATTTAATTTAATTAAATTCTAAGGGTTTACTTTATTTTTTTTTATTCTTTAATTTACTTCACTTTTTGTTTGGTTACGCCCAGAACCTGGTTATTAAAGCAAATTAAGAGAGACGACGTAACAGAGTAAAGGAGGTTGAGCCACTTTGTATAGGTGTGAATAAAATTTTTATCTCTGAAAATAATTAATACGTATATTATAGAAGAAAAATAGTTGGTACTAATTTGGAACGGTGATTAACTGGCATTAGTGGTTAGACGACTGACTATCAGAACTACACAAGAATGTACGAGGGCAGAGAAAAGAACAAAATAAAGTACCCATTTATCCGTTATTTTAGTCAACATGAAGACAACGGTGTGTGTAATATAACATCTATTATATTCTGTACCTCGTGTATCTGTAACGTTGGAGGCTCGACTACACAAATACAATTACAGCAGTAGCAGGTAGAATAAAAATAGACTGAATACAATAAGAGGTAGACAAAAAAAAAATTACGGTAGTATACGAAATAGAAGTTACAGCAGCAGGCGAAATAGAAGCAGCAGCAGGCGAAATAAAGCACGGCAGCAGGCGAAATAGAAGTTACGGCAGCAGGCGAAGTGTGGCAGCAGCAGGCGAAAGAAAGGTTACGGCAGCAGGCGAAATAGAAGCTACGGCAGCAGGCGAAGTATAAGTTACAGCAGCAGGCGAAATATAAGTTACAGCAGCAGGCGAAACAGAAGTGCAGCAAAAATTAGTTGTTACTTACAGTCAATAAGGATATACGTTAAAATATAGTCAATGTTGTTAAGGCTTGAAATATAGTCATTGTTGTTATACGAAACAGAATATTGTTGTTATATGAAAAAGTAGTCATTGCTGTTAAGAAACAGAAATATTGTTGTTATACGAAATTATAGTCACGTTGCTATATTGAAACAGAAGTCATGGTTGTTATATGAAACAGAAGTCATTGTTGTTATACTAAAATTAGTCATTGTCTAAGGCTTGCCATAGTCATTGTTGTTATACGAAAACAGAAGTCATTGAAGTTGATGCTAAAATATAGCCATTGTTAGCTTAAAACATAGTCACAAGTTGATATACGAAACAGAAGTCAATGCTGTTATAGGTAAAATAGAATATTGTTGTTATGCTTAAAATAGTCATTGCTGTTATATGAACATAGTCACTAGATGTTAAGGCTTTTAAAATGAGAAGTCACTATGTTATGCTGTTATAGCCATCGTTGTTATATTTAAAAACAGAAGTCACGTTGTTATATTTAAAATTAGAAGCCGATGGTTATATAAATTAGAAAACATATATAGGCTTAAATATAGACTTAATTGTTATATAAACAGGAATAATAGTTGTTATACGAACAGAATACGCATTATACATATAGAAGTCATTGTTGTTATATGAAAATAGAAGCCATTGTTACATGAAACAGAGTATTGCTGTTATTAAAAGAGAGTCAGTTGTTAAGGCAAATAAAGCCACTGCTGCAGATGAAACAGAAGTTGTTTATGCTTGAAACAGAAGTCGTTGTTATACGAAAATATAGTCATTGCTACAAGAAGAAACAGAAGTCACAAGTTAAGTAATGCTTAAAACAGAAGTAATAGTTGTTAAGGCTTAAACAGAATATGTTAACAAACAGAAGCATATATATGAAACAGAAGCCATGTTGATAAGCGAAACAGTAGTCATTTAAGTTGAAATATAGTCACGCATAACAAACAGAAGTCAAATATATAAGAAATAGAAATGTTATAAGGAAATAGAAGTATGTTATAAGAAATAGAAGTTACAGCGAAAGAAAAATATAGAAGTTACGCGTTATAAGAAATAGAAGAAAGAAATAGAAGGCTTATAGAAGAGGCGAAATAGAAGTTACAGGCGAAATAGAATACGGCAGCAGGCGAAATAGGGTTACGGCAGCAGTGAAAAAGTTACGGCAGCAGACGAAATAGAAGATAGCAGCAGGCGAAATAGAAGTTACGGCAGCAGGCGAAATAGAAGTTACGGCAGCAGGCGAAATAGAAGTTACGGCAGCAGGAAATAGAAGTTACAGCAGCAGGCGAAATAGAAGTTACGGCAGCAGGCGAAATAGAAGTTACAGCAGCAGGCGAATAGAAGTTACGGCAGGCGAATAGTTACGGCAGCAGGCGAAATAGAAGTTACGGCAGCAGGCGAAATAGGTTACAGCAGCAGGCGAAATAGAAATACTAGTTATATAGAACAGGTGCATGCTGTTAAGGCAAATAGAGTCATACGTTAAACAGAAATAAGCAGGTTATATTGAAACAGAAGTCAGTAGTTAAGTTAAGGCAAGCAATAAGTCACAAGGTTAAGGCTTAAGCCATAAGTCACAAGCAGGTTAAAGTATAAGTCACAAGTTGTTATATTTAAACAGAAGTCATGTTGTTATACGAAAACAGAAATATTGTTGTTATGAAATAGAAGTCAAGTTGTTACATTTGAAATCAGAGTCAGGCTGTTGCTGTTAAGGCTTAAAAACAGAAGTCAATACAAGTTATATGAAACAGAAGTCATTAAGTTGTTATATGTGTGACATTGGTCACAAGTTAGCTTGAAACATAGTCACAATTAAGGCTAAAACAGAAATAATGTTACATACGTAGCATATGTCACTGTTGTTAGCTTAAAGCATGCAATTGCTGTTGCTTACAAGGGGTCAAGTTGTGTTAAGGCTAGCCAAGTTACAGCAGCAGACGAAATATAAGACAGTGACAGATAACAAAGAGTTACAGCAGCAGACGAGATATAAGTTACAGCAGCAGACGAGATATAAGTTACAGCAGCAGTCGAGATATAAGTTACAGCAGCAGACGAAGTATAAGTTACAGCAGCAGACGAGATATAAGTTACAGCAGCAGTCGAGATATAAGTTACAGCAGCAGACGAGATATAAGTTACAGCAGCAGTCGAGATATAAGTTACAGCAGTCGAGATATAAGTTAAGCAGAGACGAGATAAGTTACAGCAGCAGACGAGAATATAAGTTACAGCAGCAGACGAGATATAAGTTACAGCAGCAGACCCAATATAAGTTACAGCAGCAGACGAAATATAAGATGACAGACAATACAAAGAGTTACAGCAGACGAGATAGAAGTCACAGCAGCAGACGAGATAGAAGTCACAGCAGCAGACGAGATAGAAGTTACAGCAGCAGACGAAATATAAGACAGTGACAGACAATACAAAGAGTTACAGCGGCAGACATGAACACTGATGATACGTCAGCGTGTGTGTGAGTCAGACAAGTGTTTAACAAGTACACACACGACTGACTGATCTCTTTGTTGTCGTGACGTGCAGCTGTCAGTGTGTTAATGTACGCCTCACCTGTACCATCCCGACCTGTACCATCCCGACCTGTACCGCCCTCACCTGTACCCCTCACCTGTACGGCCCTCACCTGTACCCTCACCTGTGCCGCCTCACCTGTACCATCCCGACCTGTACTGTCCTCACCTGTACCGCCCTCACCTGCAGCTCTTACCTGTACCGCCCCTCACCTGTACCCCCTCACCTGTACCTCACCTGTCCTGATCCGCACTGCCCTCACCTGTACCCATCCCTGACCTGTACTGTCCTCACTCCAACCGCCCTCACCTGTACTGCCCTCACCTGTACCATCCTGGACCTGTACTGTCCTCACCTGTACTGCCCTCACCTGTACCCCCTCACCTGTACTGCCCCTCACCTGTACCATCCCTGACCTGTACCGTCCTCACCTGTACCATCCTGACCTGCAACCGTCCTCACCTGTACCTGCCCCTCACCTGCAGCTCTCTTACCTGTACCGCCCTCACCTGTACCTCACCTGTACCTCACCTGTCCTGACCTGCACCGCCCTCACCTGTACCATCCCGACCTGTACTGTCCTCACCTGTACTGCCTCACCTGACCTCCGCCCTCACCTGTACCATCCTGACCTGCACCGTCCCCACCTGCAGCTCTCTCAACCTGTACCGCCCTCACCTGTACCCCCACCTGTACCCGCCCTCACCTGTACCGCCCCTCACCTGTACCCCCCCACCTGTACCCCCACCTGTACCGCCCCACCTGTACCGCCCTCACCTGCAGCTCTCTCACCTGTACCGCCCTCACCTGTACCCCCCTCACCTGTACTGTCCTCACCTGCCCCTCACTGTCCTGACCTGCACCTCTCTCACCTGCACCTCTCACCTGCACCCTCTCACCTGTCTCTCACCTGTTGTATTTATGAGGTGATTATGTTCAGCATGTGGGATGTTTATGAGGTATTTGGAATGTTAATAATAAGCCTTTGTTGCAGCTTTAATCTTCTTTCGGAGGAACAAAGGAAGAAAGGAAGATGGAGGGAGGAAAGAGAAAAGGAAGGAGTAAGAGAAGAAGAAGAAGTAAGAGAAGAGGCATAAGAAGAAGAAAGAGAGGAGGAAAACAATATAACACTAACACAAATTTGCAGGAGGAGAAGGAGTTAAAGAGGAAGAAAAGGAAGAAGAAAAGAGACATAAGGAGAAGAAGCAGTAGTAGGAGAGAAAAAAAGGCAGTGCCCACGAATAGGAGGAGGAAGAGGGAAGTGTGAGAGTAGGGGGTGAGAGGGCATAGTTCCCACACTCGGGAGAGGAGCAGCCCTGGGCCACACCTCCAGCATCCCTCCCTCCCTCCCTCCCTCCCTCCCGGTAATGTGCTTCAGGTGGGTTCATCCCCGGACATCTACTACCTACCTCCCTCCCTCCCTCCTTCTCCCTGGGTCCTTCCTTGAGAGTGGGGGAACAAGCACCATTTGTAACGTGAACTTTGACACTGTCTTAAAATAATTCCTCCTCTGAACACGACCCCAGGAGACCATGACGACCCAGGAGACCGTGACGACCCCAGGAGACCATGACGACCCTAGGAAACCATCACGACCCAGGAGACCATCACGACCCATGAGAGATAATACAAGTAACCCTCCCCCCACACACACACACACACTCTACCTTTGGGATCAGCAGTGACATAAGCAAGTTTGCGGATGACACCAAAATAGGCGGCAAATTAATTCAGGGCAGGATGCAAATGCATTACAGGAGGATTCAAATTGCAGGGGTGGTCTGAAAATGGCAATGAAATTCAACACCAGCAAGTGCAGCGTACTTAATATTGGAAGAACAAATACTTATAATGTATACAGCCCAACAACATCAACCCAGAGAAGTCGACTGTAAAAGAGACCTAGGGCTACTTGTAAGCCCGACCCACGGCCTAGAAAAACAGTGCATTAATGTTCGAAATAAGGCAAACAGAGTATTGGGTTTATGTCTAGAAGTGTAAGTAATAAGAGTGCAGAGGTCTTATTGCAACTATATCTTGCGCTAGTCAGGCCGCACCTCGATTATGCGGTTCAGTCATGCCTTATTATAGAATGGATATAAATTCACTAGAGTCGGTGCAGCGAAGAATGACAAAATGATTCCGGGACTTAGAAACCTTCCATATCAGGATAGGTTAAAGAAACTTAACTTGCATTCCCTAGAAAGACGAAGAGTGGGGAGATATGATAGAAGTATTTAAGGGTGAAAGGAATCAATAAAGGGATATAGATAAAGTTCTTTATAATATCCGAGCAGGATAGGACTCGAGCAACGGATTCAAGTTGATAAGTTTGGGTTTAGCAGGAGATAGGAAGAAACTGTTTCACAAATAGGGTGGTGGACGAGTGAACAAGCTTAGCAACTTTGTAGTAAGTGCGAACCTGGAAAAGTTCTAAGGAGCTGATAGATTCATGGATGATAGAGAGTGGTAGTAACTCTCGACAGGAGGCCATGCACAGCCAAACCGGCCTATTGCAGACTCCTTATTTTCTTATGTTCTTGTCTCCATGTATGTATGTATGTATGTGCGTTTACGTATGCATGTGACCTTGTATATATATATATATATATATATATATATATATATATATATATATATATATAATATATATATATATATATATATATATATATATATATATATGTGTGTGTGTGTGTATATGTTTGTATTTGTGTGTGTATAAATCAGTGCCAAGTCAACATAAACCTGAGCGATGGTTCAGGTTAATTAGGAGAGATTATATTACCTGAACTAAACAGAATTTTTGCAATGTTTTTGTCAAGGTCGAGAGTTGACTTGACGTTGATAATTAATTCACACACACACACACACGGTTCCTGATCTGACCCCTTAAGTATTTCTTATTCACTAGTAAATTGTAATTCAAAGGTATAATAGAACGTTCATCTGGTCCATCTGTCTGGTACACCTGTTCGTTTTACCATCTATGTTTCTTATGTTCCGGTCCACCTTCTGTGATCTTCCCACACTGGTCCACCTTGCATGGTCCATCTTCTGTGATCTTCCTGGTTTGGTCCACTTTGTGGTCCCTCCTAGTCGGTCCAGCTGCTGAGTACGACCTGCCCCGGTTCTAGTGGCCCGGCAGCAGGTACAGTTGCTTGTGACCCAGCATCGTCCTCCAGTTATGTCATCAACGTAACATTGTTTAACCCACTCACCTCGTGGAGTGCCGGTCTAACTGACCCATCTGTCTTGGCGTTGAGTGTCGGGAAACTGTTAGAACTAATTGTGTTATCTTCGACTGGTTGTGGTAAGACTAACTGATCTGTAGACAGTTGAAACTGACTGCTGTTCAACTCATTGTTGTTCAGACCGGCTAATGGTGAGATTGACTGATGATGACTGATAAGATTCTTGAAAATAAGTTGCATTTAGCTCACTGAAGTCAGACTGGTAATAGTGAGACTAACTGGTTTGTAGACTGTTTAAGCAACCAATGGTGAAACAAATTGATATAAGACTATTGGGACCATAGCTAGGATTTTTTTTACGATTAGCCCATCATGGCACAGGTCAATGACCCACATCAGGCCTGGGGCGAAAATATATATTTATAATAATTACAAAAAAATATTAAAAAATAAATAAATGAATAAATAAATACATCATTGTTTTGTTCACTGTGAATCTGTATTTCACTGGCTGAATAAACTGTTTTAAAATCTACAGCTGACTCCAACATCAGGTGGTCAGCCAACACAGCTGACCCAACCAGAACCATACATGCCTGCCCGAGCGTCTCACCGCCCTGGCGCGCGACGCCGCCCTACCAGCCACCACCCAGACACTACCTGCTACCCACCACCCAGACACTACCCCTGCTACCCACCACCCAGACACTACCCTGCTACTCACCACCCAGACACACCCTGCTACCCACCACCCAGACACTACCCTGCTACCCACCACCCAGACACTACCCTGCTACCCACCACCCAGACACTACCCCACACCCACCACCCAGACACCCACCCTGCTACCCACCACCCAGACACCACCCTGCTACCCACCACCCAGACACCACCCTGCTACCCACCACACCCAGACACTCCCCTGCTACCCACCACCCAGACACCACCTGCTACCCACCACCCACACCACCCTGCTACCCACCACCCAGACACTACCCTGCTACCCACCACCCAGACACCACCCTGCTACCCACCACCCAGACACTACCCTGCTACCCACCACCCAGACACACTACCCTGCTACCCACCACCCAGACACTACCCTGCTACCCACCACCCAGACACTGCCCTGCCACCCGCCATCCAGACACTGCCCTGCCACTTACCACCCAGACACTACCCTGCTACCCACCACCCAGACACTACCCTGCTACCCACCACCCCACACACCACCCTGCTACCCCACCAGACACCACCTGCTACACCACCCAGACACTGCCCTGCCACCCACCACCCAGACACTGCCCTGCCACCCACCATCCAGACACTGCCCTGCCCACCACCCAGACACCCCTGCCACCCACCAAACAGATATTGCTCTGCCACCACCTCCAAACAACCACATGTTATCCTTTACCCAGCCTCCACCTCGCCACAAACCATTGAGACATCATCCCGTCACCAATATTCCGCCCCCAAAACCACCACCCAGACCCAGACACCGCCCACCACCCAGACGATACCTCGCCACCCACAGACGCCGCCCAGATACACACCATCCAGACGCAATCTCGTCACCCACTACCTAGACTTTGTTTCTCCGCCATCCACCTACCTTTGGGCCGATCTCGATCAACCCTTTGAGGCAGCTCACTGGCAGCTTTATTCAGCTGAGAGATCCCTGCCTTGTA